TAAAGTGACGAGACATACTGATTTTAAAGGTAGTGTTCTGATTTCAAATATGTACTGAATTTTAAAATTGCGCTGATTAAGAATAAAAATGCGGAATAGTTCCCCCTAGGAAACATTACGTTCGCTCCACCTATAATTGGCTGTGAGTGAGAGGATGTTTTAGTCTTAAACCCTGTCTTTTCTCTAAATATCTTTTTCAAAATAATATTATCCAGGCAATATGATGATTGTGTATATCATGTGACTAATGAATTTATAATTAGCCTAATGCAAATAGTAATGTTTTTTAGGCTATATACTTATGCATATTACAGAACGTTCAATTAATACTAATAATAGTACTTCTCTTCGTAGAAAATATCAAATTTTCAAATAAAACATATGGGGACGACCCCTATGTTTTATTTTATTCATAAATCCATCTCATAATCCTACAATATTAATTTTTTTATAGAATAATTCATTTTTAAGCAAAACGTTTATTCATAAATTTATTTTATTTTCACTTTTAACCAGGGCTGTGGAGTCGGAGTCGGAGTCGTGGAGTTTTGGTGTTTTAGTAGGAGTCGTAGTCGGATGATAAGGAAAAGTCGGAGTCGGAGTTGGAGTCGGTAGATTTTTACGCGACTCCACAGCCCTGCTTTTAACTAATAATTTTGAACAAACCATTTATCATTTATAAGTATGAACAGAAAACAAAAGTATTGCACCGGTATATCACAGATCGCACTATTTATATCTTGTCTATGACTATATTTTAAATCACACTTACTACATTCCATTTTATTTAATGTATAACGAGTTCATCAGCGTTGATAGTACGATAAACAAATGATAAGGCTTGTAACTAAGACCCGAAATTGACTCAAATCCAATTGCAGCGATTGGTTCTGCTCGTCGTAGCGGCATAATTTAGAACTAATGCTTACCAAGGAGCTAGACTCTTGTCTTGTTTTGTAGACATTTGGGAACACAAGCATCTAGAGCTGTAGACCCTGATCGTGCATTAATGTCAATTTCTTACGCACCGTAGCGCATATGCATCGTAGCTTTTACGCCCGATCCGAAGAATAAAACTAGCGCGTTTATCATTGTTTATCATACCGTCAACGTCGAGGAACTCGTTATACGTTAAATAAAATGGAATATAGTGAGTGTGGTATAAAATATAGTCATAGACAAAGTTTAAACTGGCGTATTAAGGCAAGCAAACACATAAAGGACGACAACAGTAGTGACAAAAATATTAAAGTATTTAAGTGCAGGTTGTGTTTATCTATGTACTGTACCACAAAAAGAACAGTTTTTTAATGTTGATGCCTCCAATATCAGTACATATTGTTCTATTGGAGACAGTATACGTAGCATATATGATTTAAAATACGGGGTATATGTACAGTATAATATTTATCTTTTCGATTGTAGAAATGTCATCGGGCTGCAATTTGGAAAAATTGTAGACCTATAAATTCCCACTGTTATCCGTATGGAATTAGATAAATGAAATTTGAGCCCAGAATTTGAGCTTAGGGGTAGGAGGCCCCAATTAACTGTATATGAACAATACAAATTTGAAGTCACGTTATTTCAATTCAAATATCTTCCTCTGAAAAGAGTTAGATGACCGGCATGACTCTATTGTTAAAGGAAAAGTATAATGTACAGGGGTAAGGCATTACTAATTTGAGAAAGAGAGCATATTTAAATTACATATACAGCATTAAAAATTTCGGCCCCGCATTGATGTCGCAATAAATAATTGCACGTTTCAATTGAATTCTAAACAGCAAACGGATTTGACAGGACACTAAATGGCACATAAAAATCACTACAAACTCATACATTAATTAATTATTAATTCATCAAAAAACGACTTTGGAAGAAGAATGATAAAGAAAAATAAAACTTGTTATGAACGGAAGTGTGGATGAAGGTTGATCTAGATAGAGTTCGAATGTCGAGTAACACAACCTTTGAACTTTCATCACAATAAACGCTATTGTCCTCCTTTTACTGACGGTATAATAAGTCTAGCAAAAAGAAAAGCCACCTTAGCGCTCGTATAATTGAACACAAGACTAGACAAGAAGCGTATCACACAAGATAAGCAGTATTGTTTGGCTTTTTACAACCTGCCATCCTTCTCCCTATTTTCTGCGTCTTTATTCGACGCCTACGGTCAAAATCCGTCTTTTGAAAGAGTATTTGAACCGATTCTTTAATTTTTAAATACTTCGTACGTAATTAATTTTTTCAGAATATTAAAGGAGGAACTTTACGTTTTCTAAGATTGGTTATGGACAATAGCGCCCGTTATTTCGAGTGTCCGCTATTTACAAGTAGATATAATAGATGACCTATTTGAAGGATCTGGGGATTGTAAAAATGCCAGTTAAATAAACATGTTCGCTATTCGGAACTCCATTAATGGAAGTTTCACTATACACGTATACTAGTACTTACACGTACTAGTACACATATTATGATTTCCTGTTTACAGATCTGACATAACTTTGGAATTGCAAAAGTTCGTAGCCAGTAAAGACTTCCAGAAGCATTTTTAGAGTGAGAAAATATCAATTTTTAAGTCGCCTTATATTTTATTTTATTCATAATTTCACCTTATGAGTTAAAACATTTCGTTTTAAACATTATCGTATATTTTTATGGAGAAATCATTCATTTTTAGGTAAGGTGTCTAACTAAAAATTTAATTTCAGTTTTAACTATTAGTAATTACGAATAAAGCATTCATAATTTGTAATTTTGACTAGAAAATACCACAAAACGACTTCCGGTTATTGGCGCTGTTATCCGCAGCGACATAATTTAGAACTAACGCTCGCTCAGGGTCTAGACTAGGGATCACCAAACTTTTCTCACAGCTGGCCAGATAACTGAAAGAATAACAAGCGCGGGCCGCATAACCATTTTGTTCAATATATTATACTAAATACAAAAAAATAAAGAAAATCAATATAATTATTTACCAATACGCAAACTCGATCTTTGCAGCAAGCTCGTAATCGTTTTCCTTAGAAACTTCAGTGCAGGTACTTACACAAAAATGCTCTGATATCCAAAGTTGAAAAGTCACCGAATTTTTCATTTCACTGATTTTCCTAAAAATTATATTACTGTCAAATGCAAAAATCAGATTGGACCAATTTTTGGCATTTTTACTTACATTTATTTTAATTTTTTTCTACATAGTAAGTTCATATACAATCTATGATATTTTCATACAAGCCTAAATAATCGGCGGCCGGATGGCCGAGCGGTCAAGGTGACAGCCCACCGCTCTGGAATATCCGGGTTCGAATCCGAACGCGTCGAAAAATCCCCAGGTATTTTTCGGGGGTGGTCCATTCTGGTATGTCGGGCCTCGTCCCTCACCACCTGGCAGCCCCATTGTGGGCCTGGCCAAAACCACAATGGGCTTGCAAAAAAAGAGGTCTTTTTAGTGCCCACAGGGCGGAAAGAGATAAAAAAAAAGGTCTAAATAATTATATTTTAGTTCATTTGTGGCACAGTGCGGACCGTAGTTTGGTGATCCCTGGTGTAGACGCTTGTTTTGAGAATGACGGTGAAAGAAAGAAAAAGATGGCGGCGCCCGTATTACCGATAGTATCGTGATGAAGTGATCTATAATTTTAAAATATTCGTTTTTAGAGACGAAATTTAAAAGAAGGGTCCCAATTGTAAAATTTGATCGTAAAATGGATTGTCTTGTTTCAAAAATTAGTAAAAAGCCACGTAGCCAACATTAGAAAATACCAGCTATCATTAAAAAAAAATTCGAGATGACACTGGGTGCGTTCTTTATTTCTCCGCGTAGTTCCCCGCGAGCGACATTCGTTTAACTGTTTCCGCCCTATGGAAGTAAGAGTAAGCTCATTATGGGTTCGGCCAGGCCAACAATGGGGCGGCCGGTTGGTGAAGGACGGAGCCCGACATATCCAGACGGACCACCCCCAGTGACCGATCTGGACGAGTCGAAAAGTCCCCAGGAATTTTTCGACCCGACCAGATCCGATCCCGGGTTCCCCAGAGTGGTAGGCTACCACCTTGACCGCTCGACCATCCGGCCATACAAGACCAACTAGCAGTCATTAGACGCATTCGTAGAACAAGAGTAAAAACCAGACGAACAAATTTTCATCAGTTGAAATATGATACAATTATAATAGCATTCTCGACACGACAGCTTTAGGAATACAAAACCCTCGAGAAATTGTGTTGGGTCCGGGGATAGAATGACTTGTGTCTCTTAGCGGGCCCTTTCATTTTATTTATTTATTTTTGAACAAGTGAAATAGATAGAATGTTTCTTTATTAATAAAAATCAATCTTAAATATTTTATTTTCTGTTCATAAAAATAATGTTAATTTTATGCAATGAGAATCACTACGGAGCTCTAAGTTTCCTCCGAGTCCAGCGAAAAATCTCCAGCTTCCCCTGCCTCTCGAAGGCTCTGCAAAACTCTTAAGGAGAAGACATGTTACTAATATAAACTGAGTTATTATACCCGCGAAATGAATGAAAAGATCATTAGAAGACGAGAGAAGGGGAATTCTGAAAAGTCTTGTGAAGATTTGAAAATCATATTACAGTATATATGTATATATATATATATATATATATATAAATTCCGAAAAGTTATATTAGCTTTTTCATTACTCAATTGCATTTGCAAAAATTTGTATTTTTTGTATATTCTAAATATAATTAAGTTCTACTTTTTATAATGACAAATTTTAATATATTCGACTCTTGAATTGAAACTTCATTTAATGGCCGCAACTGAATAAATCTGAAGCCATAAAGGTAAATACCAATAGATGATATGCAATAAAAACATTATCAAATAAAGGCAAATAATATAAACAATACAATTTATTTCGATGTTTTCTATCACTAAACATTTCGTAGTGATAAATACCCATATAACATTTTTATAAAATAATATACAATTAAACAATGAGCCATCTACCGGAAGAAAACGAAAGTAAAGATAATTCTCCGGATCGCGTTAGTGTCGATATTGAGATTGAAACGGAGTCGGCGAGAACGGGCGAAGATGGACTCGGGAGTGGATCGTATAGGCGCCATGAATAAGTTTTTGGAGGAATTGAACGAGTTTAAAACATCACCCACCGGAGAAGATTATACACATTGGAGGATTGGCTTAATCGGAAATTATTCGTTGAAGCCCGAAGAAATTCAAGCTGAAACCTTGGACTGGGCGCTTCAATTTCTAGAGCAAAGGTGAGAAAATCTCGGTTATCACTATCTTACATCATTAACAACCACGATTAAAATGTTTTGGTGTAAATTCGTTGTAAAAGTTTAACCAGGAAAGTGAATTGGGCCCGGTTATAATTTCCTTGTAATCTTCCTTGTTTTAGTGTCGTAATATCCTTGTGGAGTAGATCCATCGTAATTATATTTTCGGCTGATGACATTTGTGGAATTTGTCCAGAAAATATATGCGACTAAACATATCTTCATTCTAATCTACTTTATTAATTGTTTGTGTATTAGTTGGGAGTAACCCTGTTTTTTTCAATGAATGATACATAGTAAGTGACATCACACAAGATAATTATGGAACAATGTGAGGGTGGGAATCAAACTAGAATTTAAACGTAATTATGACAGTAACTTGTTTCACTCTTGTGTTTTTTATAATATATATTTCACATGTAACATACCACATGTGAATTTTATAAAATAACCTTCACTTTCTCAAATCAAAATATATAATGTGCTACTGCCTTGTTATTAATAAAGGATTACTCAATTTTTGAGAATAAGAATATCAAATTTACACATTTTTCTTCTTTCTTATGACATGTTCTATACTAAGATAATTTAACAATGACTCATATATGTATATAGGCCTATTATATAAATATAATCATTTTTATATGTTTTTTAGATTATAAACTGAAGTATCTAATGATATAGCTTAGTAATGTTAAAATTTAAAATTATATAATTGAGATAGTTTTAATTTAATATGCTATAGTCGATTAAAACTATACAATAAAAATTTGCCAAAAATTAATAATTTCTATAAATGTATTTATTTTTATATAAAAAAAACTTTTAGCTTTTATGTAAATAATAAAATGAAAATTCTACTGAAATTTATGTATTTGACACAAAGTAAGCATTGAAGTGTTCCTAAAATAAAATGTTTATTACTCAAGATCAGCATGGTAAATACTAAAAGTGAATCAAACTACATTTATATTTAAACAATGATAATTTAAGTATACATAATATTTCAAATTATTCAAGTTAAATCAAAGAATTTATTGATAATTGGACTTTTATCTCCACTTAACATTTAAAATTTAGTTTTAGTTTTAAAAAAAAGAATTATTTTTATTACATTATGCCTATTATATTACTTTTTAAGTCAAAACTTTAAAGTGGTGTATAAAATTACAATCATGGTAAAGCATATATTAGAGTGTATATATGTATTTATATTTATATAATTATTTTAATTTTCACTTTTTATTTCTTTGTGTCTAGTCAAGATCATTTTGTACCATTTATTAAATGTAAAAAATAAATTTAGAATTTAATTTTTAATATTTTGTAAATTTTTACTTATTTTTTTTTATTAATTATATTAATACTCAATATACTATTTTAAAACTACATAATTGTTATATATAGTCTTATCAGCTGTCTATATTTGGAATTAAGATGGCTATATACTAAAACAATATTTTTTAATAATTCCTTCATTTTATGCTTGTTCAAATGGTGCTATATTATTTTTGATATACACAAAGCATATCAAAAATATATGTTTATAGTTTTATGTTCATATTTTTTAATCAAATTTAAATAAATTAAGATTTAAATAAAGTCAAAGTTTTATTACTTAGACTTTATTTTCATCACAAAGTGTAATAGTTTCAGTTTGGATTTCTGAGATTCTTCTGTTGTTTTTAGTTTTCTTTTAGGTTTATTGACAATCAGAAATTTAGAATCTGTTGTATTGTTGAAATGTTGTTATTATTTATTAGTGTTTTCTATGATATATTGAATAGTTTTTATAAGATTTACCAAAATATTAAAGTCACTTTATCCTGCAAATTGATAGGATAAGTTTTTTTCAACATTTATGAAATAAACAAAGTCATTTTCGTAGGCTAAACCATTTTTGTTAATGTTTTGCACTAACATTCATGATGTTAATTTTAGAAAACATGAAGTGCTGACTTATCTCAAAACTTAAAATCTTTATTTGTTTTAATCTTGTGATTAAAATTTTAAAAAATCAAAATATCAAAATATTGGAACATGAATTTGACCACAGTATTAATATTTATAATATGGTCTTTTTATTACTTATGTAATAATAGTGAATTTTAGAAGTTAAAATTGCCCTTAAATTATATATTGATGGTTCAAAGATGCATTTTTTTTTTTTTTGCATAGTCATTATTTGTAAGATGGAAAGGATGTCAGCTCATTATTCAAGATGTAACTTTGATTATAAAATGTTTTGGATGTCACATTTTTGATATGAAAATTAGATTACAATCAATATGTTATTAAATAGCCTGTTATAAGATGTTAAAAATTAATTTAAATTTTATAATTTCATAAACAGAATTTTAAATGTTAGATAATAAACATGACTAAGTGCAAATAGATTAATTAGCTAAGTTAGGGTTAACTATCAAGCTAGAAACATGACAGTTAATCCTGCTCTATCATTTGATTATTATTATTTTAACTTGAGCTTGATATTTTGTATATATTTAAAAAATAACTAAAATAGAAAAAAAGGACTATTAAGACAAAACCACATAAACTACATTAAGTAATGAAAATAATAATAATAATAATAAATTATATTAATTATACCTGTTTGACTAAATAATAAATTTCTTTATATGATAAAAGCCTGATAGACTGTAATCATCAGACCATTCAACAGGAAGTTAAAATCTTATTTCATTCATCCAATTGCTATTTAGAAAACACTATATAAAGATTTATTTTACTATGGTCTTCTAAGTCAATTTATTTAATAATATTTTAAATTGTATTCAAATGTTACTTTAACTAATATTAAATAGATTTTTACATTGTAGAGCAATGTTTTCTAACCTTTTTGAATTAGTGACACACTTTGAATTTAATTAGATTACTGAAACACGCCATAATTTTTAAAATAAATTTTGATAATATGAAAGTTAAGTTTACCAAGATAAAAACTCACAATTTTAAAAACATACTAAACAAGTAAAATGACTATTTGAATGAATGTATAAAGAGCTAGTATCAGTCTTTAAGCTGGTAGGCTGCAATGTTTAAAAAAGCTACAGAGAGTTGGTATGTCAGCATATGCATAGACACAGACAACTTTTATGAGGGAGTGAGTGGTAAACTGAAGGGAGTGTCAGCAGAACTGGTGGTTTCCCAAACCATATGTCAGCAGCACACGGAAATGTGTGAACGAGGAAGGAATACTAAATAAAGCTGGAGTTGTGACTCAGGATTATAGACCCAAATTCGGGGAAAGGAAGGAATGACCAAAAGATAAAAAGTAGTGAGAAAGGTTAAATAGATCATCCGTTATGCAAATATTGACCCTTAATTTTCTAACCTTCTTTTTCTTTATCTTTTGTCTTTTCTCTCCTTTCCCCACATTTGGGGCTATAATCCTTTGAGTCCCAACTCCAGCTTTATTTAGTATTCCTTCCAACATTGCAAGATTTGGCTACTTTTTGGGCTACATATTATTTATAAATATATTAGTTGAATAGAAATGCACTTTAAAATGGTGTTTCGTCTATTATTAATTAGGGAACCAAATAAAACAAATATTTGTGTTGTTCAAATAAATTTTTGTTTGTCTTCTTTATAATAAATGAATATATTTTTACATAAAAATTGAAAGTATCTGTAGAAGTAATTTTTTAAAATATCCTTTTTCATGATAAAGTTTTAATACTTATTATTTTAATCTAGACATGTTAATCTTTAAACATACTTGTATATTTAAGGATTGGGCCATAAGTATATATAATATTCCATTACTTCTTCCAATGTGGCCCAGAAAAACAGAGGTTGGACACCCCTGCTGTAAAGTTTAAAAAAATGAAACAAATGAAAATGGTAACATTATCTCTAATTTTTGTTAGAAAAATGCAAAATGGAAACATGCATATATTAGAAAGAGAAACTAAACAATGTTAAATGAATCAAAATATTTAATTTGATTAAATGCTTTTCAACATTTTTACTCCTATCTCCAGATCAACTATTAATACATTCTGATAATTTGAATCAAACATTCATTGAAGAGTTGTTTTTACAAAATTACAATATTCACACTCATGATCATACTAAATACATGTAACATAATGAGAAAATTCTTAAAGCAGATGTGTACATATTAAAAACTGTTAACAAAACAGAACTGTTGGATATAATCTAGAGAAATGAACTGGAGTTATCAATATGTAAACATTGAGTCATCTCACACCTTAGGACTCTTTCTCTACTGGTACATGCAAAAAATTTGTTTATTGTAATTTATTTGTTGTAACAAGGAACTTCTGCCAATATTAATTAAATTTATTTTAGACAAATTCACATCAGAGCAATGCAAAAATCATTGAATTTTATTTCAAAATTCAGTTTTTCATTATTCTAATGCAGAAAGATTTCAATTGGTCTTCATGTCAACCCAATTTGGCAGTATCAAATTTTTTCTTTGAGGTTATCTGAAGAACCTGATCTATGTCGATGAGATTCAGACCATTCAGTAGCATAAAGACAACAGTTGAGAAAAAAATTCAATTAGGATTGCCAATATCTTCATGAGGTAGAAGTAATGAGAATATATGTATATTTTTACTTAGAAGCTGATATTCATATTGAACTAATTTATGCTCTGCTATTCATGTTCATTTCAATAAAAACTATTTGGTTAATACAAATATTTTGTTAGTTTTTTCTTGTTCTATAATAAGTATGATTTAGAAAAATAATTATCAAAATTGCACTATTTTGAAATCTTTGAACTATCCATTATTTCAGTTTATATGAAAAGTGATATGAATTATAAAATTTAATGGATAATTATACAGATACATTATTTGGACTAAAAGTAGGATGTTATGCTGCCATCTTGTATTAAATTTAATAATTAAAAAATAATAGTCATTAATTTTGACTATTATTGAGAAAAAGTTTTATTTGGAATAGACTCAATCTTAAATTTCTGC